TAATAATAATAATAATAATAATAATAATTATTATTATTATTATTATTATTATTATTATTATTATTATTATTATTGGCATGGCACAGAAGTGTCTAAAGTTGCTGAAGAATTTGATAGCTTCAGCTATTCATAGGATCTACGGAAAAGTCACGGCCGATCTAGCATACAAATTACTACTATTCTATTTTTCCTTTCCTTTTCTTCTTCCACCTACATACAGAGTAAATAATGATGTTTAGGAGAAAAACAGGAAGAATCAAAAGCAAGGAACTGCAAGGTCACAGCTTAATTTGAAGAGAAAGTGAAAGAAAAGTGGGATGATTAAATGACTCAAAGATTTATAAAAGCTTTGGGTTAAGAAAGTGGTTTGGTACCCAACCTTGGCTTTTTATTATAACATTCAACTTCCACTCAGCTTATGTATCACAGCATCCTTAAGACCCACTTAAAAAAAAACACAAAGTTCATTACTAATATAATTCAAACTTCCTTGCATTCAAAATATATTACATGAATGTCAGTCAGTGTTGTGTTCATTTCCTGTAATATAAAGATTCTGATGTGGCAGATGGTAATAAAATCAGTTTCAGTACTGTCAAAAATTTATGGTAGTACTAGATAAAGAAGCTATCATGAATCATTGGTCTAACTTGTTCTGTAAAATGGTACATTTCGACATCTTCATATATTACATGAATGTGATATAAGATATTTTATACTTGGCATTCATTCCTAGCACACAAGCTGATGTTTTGCCACAAAATAGAATATCAGACAAGAAGTTATTATTTCCATTCACCTGAGTAGCTTCCAAGTCTCGGAGCGTTGTTATCAGCACCATCATAAAAATCTAAAGAGTCCCAGTTATGCTCTGTTGCAAAACTTATCACTTGTACCTATTAAGGACAGAGACATAGGGCAAAATTACAAGGCAATATGGAATGGCTCTACTTCATATTATACTGCCAGAAATGATTCAGTAGCGGAATGTTTGTTCAGGCTTATGTATTTTGACTAAATATTGGATTTCAGCCAGATACATTTCTAAATATGACCTTATTCCTAATAATGATTGTAATCACTGAAACCTGTGTCTCTAATTCCCCTCCCCCCAACACACAAACTACTCAATGACTGAAAACAGAGATGCTATAATTAGCTATGTAATGGTACACTGTATTTACTTCTTGGTTAACAGGATTTGAGTAATAGCTTGTTTGGTTGCAAGTTAGACTCCATGATACAGGTAGTCTTTGCTTAATGACTGGTAGTGTTACAACTGTTTGAAGTTACAATGGACACAGAATGGGTACTTTATGGCCCGTATAGCATTACCACTTCCCACAATCATGTGATCATATGTCAGGTTCAGGCAAGGATTGGTCCACCCCAGCAGTGGGATTCACTTACCTTCCCTACTGATTTGCAAAAGTGCATTCATGCTAGCTTTGCTTGCACATGTCATGTCTGTGCATGCACAGTGCTTGTGCATTATGTCAGGGTGGGTTGGTGGAGCCTCATGCAGCTACCACTACCAGTGTGCCCAAACTGGAGACAACCAGCTGAATACCACCTCTGGTCCACCCCAATCATACAGACAGATTGGGTATGCTCTATACACCATTGGTCATAGAATTCTGTCTGGCAGTATCCAGGAGAAGAGCCTATATGTCATGGCTTCCACTCTTCAGAACATCATGTTCTTGAAGTGCGATCCACAACGACCTCCTTGGCTTTCTGCAGGGGTCTAAAAACTAGGTGTGGTGATTGTTCTGGGTTCTTAATGGGGGCATTCAAAACTGGAGGTGGTTAGTGGATGAAAAAAAGACTCCATCTCTACCCTGTTCTATATTGATTTCTTCCTTAGCTATCTTCGTTAATTTTAATGTTACTATTTAATGTTTCAAGGTTTTGTGTTGTCATTTTAATCTCATTGCATGTCAACTAATTGAAGTGTATTTCAAATGTTGCCTCCAGTTCTGGATATCAAACTTTTAGAAGGATTCAGAGAAGTGGGAACAAGTTCTTTAAAGACAGGAAGATTAATCAGAGTTAGAAATTAATTCATCTGGGAAGGAAGAATTGGGCATGCTTAGCCATAAGAAGGTAAGATTAAGATGGAAAATGCCAATGTTCTTCAAATATCTGGAAAGTGAACTCATAGAAGAAAGTCAAGACTTGCTTTGTATCATCTCAGGCACAATGGGCTTAAGTTACAGACAGTCAGATTTTGAATAAATTTTAGAAAAATCTTCCTAATATCAGAAGACTTATGAAGATACAATACAATAGCAGAGTTGGAAGGGACCTTGGAGGTCTGCTAGTCCAACCCCCTGCCTAGGCAGGAAACCCTATACCATTTCAGACAAATGGCTATCCAACATATTCTTAAAGGCATCTAGTGTTGGGGCATTCACAATTTCTGGAGACAAGTTGTTCCAGAATTAATTGTTCTAACTGTCATTAAATTTCTCCTCAGTTCTAAGTTGCTTCTTTCCTTGATTATTTTCTAGCCATTGCTTTTTGTTCTACCCTCAGGTGCCTTGGAGAATGGTTTAACTCCCTCT